GGTGCGGGTACTGTGTTTGTTTGCTTGGCTTTGTTTGTTTTGGTTTTTTTTTCTAACGACTCGGAGAGGGAGGAGCAGTGACAAGAGAGCACCTTACGGGAGGAGAGGGCGGTCGCGGTTAAGGGCGCCCCAGGGTCCTGCCTGGAGCTGCGGGCGCTGTGAGGCGCGGCCCGGCTCCGCCTGCAGCGATGGCACAACTCGTAGAGCCTTAAAGGAAAGATCTTGGGTGGACAAGGCATTTCCCTGTCCTCACAGGACTCAGAGCTCTTCTGAAAATGTTAGTTTTGGGGTACTTTCTTTGTGTTTGTGCTGACCTGCCTACTTAGGTGTTTAAGAGTCTTTCATAGCTTGAATTATCAATGGTGTGTTTTCATCGTTGTTTTATTACTGTTACTGTTGAACGTATGCGAGGGTTGAAAAGAATGCTTAGCCTGTAGCATGCTCAAGGCAGAAGCAATTGCAGAAATTTGACACAATTTTAATTCAAGTTCAGCTGCCCTGTGGGGCTTAAAACAGTTTGTCTCCTTCCGTGAACAATTAACCTCCCCGACAATCAGAGAGATTTGCCCTTGTGCCTCCGTGGAGAATATGCCGCAGATTTACCTGTGGCCTTAGGCATTTTGTCTCATTGACTGACACGAGCGAGTCCTTCTGGTAAGGTGCCTTATGCTGCTGGATTCGGGAAATGTTCCGCTCGCTCAGTTTATGGGATGTGGGTTGGGCCTGGGCCAGCTTCAGTGACTGAACGGACTGTTTGGTTCATGGGTTGTTTTGGTTTCTCTTCAGGCAGACAAATTATTGGAATCATTGAAGCAACACTTTGAAAGGACGAATGAAGAAAGTGAAAATATGGTAACATAATAAATCAGACCTTGCTTTTAAGAAATGTGAACCTTAATTTGTAACCCATAGAGCAGAGCATGTCCTGAAGAGTGATTTTGACCACAATGTAATAGAAACACCTTTTTCTTCTTAGTGCCCTTAGTTTTAAGTACTTATGTGCTGATAGAAATAGATATGCTAATGTTAGTTTTGAAGCGGCCTCTATGACTGAAAGCTGGTTTCCTTTCAGCTGCCAAAATTACCAATGCATTTTTCAGCATCAGTACAAACCTATTCTCTGTGAACAATGACATTGAATTTCCACTGAACAAACCTTAATTCTTGCTTGTTTGGCTCCAGACGCTATTCAGAAGCAAATACAAAAATATTTTATTTATTTTGCATGCCTAAATGAGGAGGACTAGGTACTAATTGGAAAGAAGTTTGCATCTACTACAGTTTACTTTCCCTATAATGAAAGCAATATGGTTGTGCTGCTTCCTTTATTTGCCTCTTAGTGTTTTGTTTTCTTAATTTTTAAATAGTTTTCCGTAAGCTGAATTGTTTTGTTGAGTGTGGCAATGTTTTTTATTAAAGTAATTTGTTATGTCCTTTTTCTAAAATACATCTCCCTTTAAGTGTATCCCTTAAAAATCTTTAAAGGCTTGAGGAGCTGGTATAAACACTGACAGCTTTTTAAAAATTTTCATGAGCAGGAAAGGAGCCCTGTTTTTACTGGTGAAGAGTATTCCACAAATGTACAAATATGGGAGGGTCATGACATCATGCAAGTTTTAGATTTCAAAAATAAAATATTAGATTGTTATAATAAATTAAAATGAAATGTGATAAACCAGTCATAGGAATTGATTTTATGGTCTCCAAACAATGAGCTTTGATACTTAGGGGAATCTAGATTGTGCCAGTTTTTTGATTACTGTGCTGTTATGTGGCATGCTACTGTTTATCCTTAGTATAAAATACTTTTTCAGATAATAAAATTGAAACTGTCCCTGAAGTATTTAATTCATATTTGTGTCAGATATCTTCCAGTTATAGTATTTTTCTGCTACAGGGTCCTGTAAAGAGTGCATCTGCTTCCATTAAATCGGATGAACTGAGCAATCAGGAGGAAATGTCTGATTCAGTGTGTGTCATTACAAAAAGACATGGTCAGGATAAGAAAATAACCAGGAAAAAGAGGAACTCCCATGAGGAAACTAACACCAGTGAGGAAAACCCAATGCTTTCTGATGAGAAACAGGTGATTTGCTTGGCATGCTTTTGTGTGCTGTCCTCCCTTCCTCTGAGCATAATTTAAGCACACTTGATTTCTTTTCAGTCACCATTTATAGATGGTATGTGTTCATATATATGTGTGTGTGTGTTTTGACACGTAGAGAAATTGATATGCAAGCATTCTGGTACTGGTCTTTTGTATTTTGTAGCACTGGGTTTTGTCCCTTTATGCACTGTCCCATAATAAACAGACATTACTTCTAGTCACTGCTTCAAGACAATAAATTCCTCTAAGAAATATACAATTCCGAACATTTTATCTAAGTGTAAGGCTGCTAGTTCATTGTAATATTCTGAATCTTAGGCTAGCTTCAGAATTTATCTAAAATAATGCTGTTCTCTCTTTTTTGGTACAGAAAAAATTATCAGAAGTTACACAATTGCCTAAATATAATTTTTTTTTATTGTTAGGGGTTGTGTGACTTAGGAAGAGAAAGTTACAGGTGAGATGAAGGTTGAATTTTTTTGAGTTACAAGGAGTAGGTAAATTAAGAACTGTCTGAAAGACTTGCTGAGGTAGAGGACGGGAATGAGAAAATGAGGAGTATTAGTCTTTTAGTGTTAGAGAATTGTACAGTATGCAAAAATACAGCAGTAAAAAGTAACATCCCCAGTGAATTTAATCTTATGAATCATGAATTTTAATCCATAAAGGCAATTTTATACTAAAATGTGAGAGCTATGCAGGTCAAAGCTTTCTAATATATCTTAAGTTTGTGAAGTAACAGGGTAAGTATTTCACAGGTTAACACAGTTTGGATTTCAGAAAATCTTTTGCTCAATCTCTCAGTCAAAAAAGACTCAGCTGTGAGGTTGGAGCCCAGTGCTTTAGGCTTTATCCAATCTGATGCTGAAAACCCTTGAGGATGAAGGCTGTGCACCTCTCTGGGCAATCTGTTCCACTGGCTCACTGCTCTCAGAACAACAGCCTTGCTTTATATCCAGTTGGAACAAACTGGTTAAACAAGGTATGTTTAAATTGCAGGCGCATTCTGAAATGAAAGAAAATGAAGTGCCTCAGGGGGAGCACAAAAAGGGACAGAAGATATCACAAAACAGAATCCAAATAACTGAAGAGAAAGCTATTGAGAATCCAGGGATGGGTGCTGGGCAGAAGAAACAGGCAGAGAAGGCTTCTGCTAAAGGCAGGGGAGGACAACGTAAGTAGAAAATTGGATAAAAGCAACTTCAATTTATGCTGCTCAGAATAACCAAAAGATAATTTTATTGCGTCTTCGAAGCATTGGTGTGGTGCATCTGCTGATCAGTAACTTGTTTTGGGGCTGCCAGAAGAAAATTGGTCTGGTTTGAGTTTGTGTTACTTGTTTAACATTTTAACACAAATCCACAGATTCTGCAGTGTAGGAATTTTGCTGGCTTTGACTTCAGAGCTCTTGTCTTAGTGAAGGAGTCTTCAGAGAGATGAGTGTATTTGAGTTTTACACTTCCAAAAGGATCAATGCCTTTTGGAATACCCTTGAGGTGGTGTTTGGCCTCTAGGAGGTGGCAAGAAAGAGAGGACTTGCTTCGTTATGGTCCATTTATCTTTTTCTACAGATGAACAGTTTTATCTTTTGCTTTCCAGGAGTAAAATCAGCAGAAAACATAGAATCCTTTACCATTTGTTTGAACTACCTAAGAGTATCTGAATGTATTCTACTGGATCACTTTTTCATCTGGTGGTGTCTTTAGTCCTTCAAACATGATGCCACTGAAAATATTAATTAATTTATCCCCCCCTGCTTTGTGTATGCAGCTGACATGAAGAAATTAGTTTGTCCACCTAATCTGATAATTTCTTGATATTGAGGGGTCTTCAAGTAAGATACACTTCTGCATTTGCTCTGTTAGGCTCAGTGTATGTAGTCTGTAAGTTTGTTATGGATATCATTCCTGTTCCATAGAATTTATAAGGACAGTCTTATGGGAGACCACCAATAATTTTGAACTAGCTCAGAAATGAGGTTTTTCTATGAACTAAAATGATTTTCTTTGTTTTTAAAAACAAAAGCAATAGGATATGAGGGGACATCACTCATCTTGACAGTTGGTACAGTGCTCATCTCTTCCTGTAGCTATAGTAACAAGTCTGCATTTAATATCAAATTGATTTTTTAACTGCACGCTGTTATTTGTTTCCAATAAGGACTTCTTTCAATATATTGTAGTCATCTAAGCTTACTTTTGAGGGGATGTGAATGACCAGAAATACAAGTGCTTGCTGTTGGTATGCAAAAGCTGAACTTGATGTAAAGTTGTTACCTGTTTTTTTTTTTTTCTTAAGAAAATTAATCATTAAAATGTGAACGTGAGCATATTACTACACCTGAGAACAGAGATGACAAAAATAGCTTGGACTTTGTATGTAAATAAGGCAGTGGCAGAAAAGTTGGTCAAAAGGTATTTCTTCTTTAGTATCAACATTTAAAAAACACAGACCAAGGCCCATGAGTTTAAAGTTTTTGTTTACTGCAAGCACAGGTCTCTTGTAAACTCTCCCTGAAAAATATTTTACTATCATAAGCTACTAAGCTAATATGACCCGCTTTGAAGAGATAAAGTGTGTTTTGAAACAAACATTGGAACAATATTTAAAACTACTGTGATTGCTTTAAATCATTTAGGAGTCATAATGATTTTGTCTAATCTTGCTGTACCAGGTAATGCTCGTCCTGCAGGAGGGAAGATCCCTTTACATGTAGGCCGTGCAGCCAGGTCTGCAGGAGGGACAGCCACCACACCAAGTAAGACAACCTGCCATCTCTAGGAAGAGAGGTGTTTTCTCTGTCTAAAGAGAGACTTGACTTAGTTTTTTAAAACTCAGATTTCTATTTGTGCTCAAATGAAAGAATATTCTCTCCTTAAAAAGCAAGCAAGAAAAAAGAATTCCGAAATGTTACATATCAAGGTACATATTCCAGCTTGTAAATTCATAGTAGTAAAAGACTGGCATGTATGTTAAAAAACTGGTTTATTGAACATTTTGGTACTTTTCCATACAAAACTTGTATTAATCATTTTGAAAGAACAGGAACACATACATGCTGTTATTCCTGCTTGTTTAGTTTTCACTTTATAAATACTATGGTTGTGCTGTACTACTATACATTAGCTCATGGTCATCACTTCTTAAAATGTGTGAAATCGTCTCAAATGTAGAAGTATTTGTTTTCTTTAACTGCAGAATTTGGGTGTTGGGTTGGATGATCTTTAAAGGCCCCTTCCAACCCAGACCATGATTCTATAATCCTCCAGGCTACCAGGTAATGGGCCATGTAGCTGGTGAAATATTCTTTTGGTCCTGTTTGGTCAGCTGTGTCTACAGCCTTTAGTCAGAGGGATGCATTGGCTTCTTTGAGGCCGTGACAACAAGTGTCACAAAATTCTCCTGTTATGTACTAAGCTCCCTTAGCACCAAGTTATATCTGTGAATGTTCTTATTTTTTGGAACTTCTTAGACTTCAAAAAGTTGCATGAGGCTCAGTTCAAGAAAATGGAATCTATTGCTGACTACATTGAGAGGAAAAAAAAACTGAATGAAAGTTGCAGTTCAGTCAAGGTAAGAGATAACATGGTAAGATACCCACTGTTGGCATATTCAGTTATTTCGAGGGCCTTTCTGTAAAAGTCCTACCAGGTCTCTTTAGATCAGTAAGTAGCTGGTCATGTGAACCTGCATTGGAATATCATAACCAATATATATATAACTTATATAACAATACAAGGTTTTACATGTTAACAGTGTACAGCTGTAGAAACCAATAACTAATTTGTGGTTTTTGAGTAAAAATAATTGTCACAATTACTTTGGTGAAAGATCTCCTGGATCTTTTGTTTACAGCTTTTTTAATTGCTGCAAAATTTAACCGAGGGGATAGGTTATTTTTCAAAGAGCAGGAATTAAATATTTTCTCTTTTGTGCCTGAATTATCATCCCATGGCTGCATATGATTCTCCTTAAAAATACATTCAATATGTGTTGTTCTCAGTTATTGTATTTCACCCTCACATGGGTGAAAGCTGCTAACAGGGCCTCTCACAAAGTGCAGTAGAGCCTGAAAAAGTGACAGTAATACATCAATGAATATGTGAATAATTATGGCAATGGCCATAGAATTGTTCAGGTTGGTTACTCTAGCACTGTCCATATCAAACATTAACAATGAATGAAACACCTGAATGCTACTTTTTTTTTAAAATGGCATATATTGTACCAATGTATACTTCAGACAAATTACTATCAGCAGGTGCTGACCAGAAAATCAAATCCCTTAAGAGCATCAGAAAAAGACACTCCATATTCTAATGTATGTGTTGTCAGGTCAATTTAATAATAAAAACACATACATTACATAAAATATGCTTTTAAAGATGAAAAAAAGGGAGAGAACTGAAGAGACCATATGCTTCTGATTCACTGTGTGTTTTCCCTTTCTCTTGGCTGCTTTGTAGATAAATTTTCATTAGAGTATGGTAACTCAGAATTTGTTTTTCCCTAGAAACAAGCCAGTGGCAAAAGATTTTTATTCAGCCCAAATGCAGAAAGAGGCAGGTTCTCCACCACCAGCACTCCTTGTAATGTCCGACGCTCACCACGCACCTCTCTGAACACTGCTAATCGGAGCATTTTATCCCAGAAATCTTCATTTCATCCTTCTGTACTTTCAACATCCAAAATGAATGTCAGGTAAAAAAACAAATCAAAGCTACCAGCAAGCCATTTGATGTGATACACATGAAATAATTAACACTGACTGTGAATTTACTACATTATTTCTCTTCCAAAAATGGACTATGCAAGACTAATTCTGATTACTAACTTTCAGCCTGGCTTTTTGGGTGGTTTAAGCCTCCTTGTGCTGTTACTGTCTTCATTTTTCATTTTTATGTCTGTTAGAAGAATCTCAAGTCCTAGCTTTCATTTTTCTGAAGCCAAATGATGCAAAATCAAGCAAATTGTTTTACTTCTATTACTGTGTTAGGTTTTCTATTTTGCCAGGCAGCCTAGTAGTTTCTGTTTATCCTAATTAATTTTTCTGTAAATTTTTAAAATCAGAACTCTCTTCAGTATTCCAGGTGAGTCTTGCAATGGTTTTTAGATATTTTCTTCCTTCTGTCCTCTACTTCCCCTCCCCTTCAGTGTCACAGCATGGGTCCTCTTGTGACTGACTAAGCAGCCTGTTTCTAGCCGATGGGAACTGACACCAGAAGTCATGAGCAATTGCTAAATGGATGAATTCTTACTCAATGCTATTATACCTCGTCTCATTTCCTTTTAGAACATCATGTGTATGTCATCATTCCTCCACAGTAATCTAATTCTCTATTAGTGTTAATATTTCATGAAATTTATAATTTCTAATGAAAGCCTTTATTTCTACTATTTCTTTGTTGATTTCTAACTATGATACTAATTTTGACTTTATTCAGTTTTCTTAACCTTCCTCAGTGACTGAAGTTCTGATTAGATATTCTCCCTTTGCTAACAATACACAGTTGTTCACAGGCCTTGGTTCCAGTGTTCCTTGCTCTGATGACCTTCACTTTTCCGCTTCTGCATGCCAAGATCATGGCTGCTGGGAATTTTTTTTGTCCCTGACTAAAGTGTATTTGGGATTATTGTTTTTAAGTCACATAATGGAACTTCTCATATTGCTGTCTGATAATATATATTTATGAGACTTTGGAATGCAGGTCTTCTGCTGTTTAAAGGTCAAAATCAAGATTACAAACTTAAAGGCTTTGTTTTTACTTTAAATGTCTTTTTGATTTCAATAGATAACAAATGTCGAAAATACGCTGCCTCTAGTGTCCTCTTGGATGAGCTTGGATGTCTTCACTGTAGCCCTAATTGACTTCTAGCAATATGTGAACCAAAACATTACTTTCAGAAATTGCTTCCAAATTTCCATTCCACAGTTGCACTGTGGTGGTGGACCTTGCAAGCTGTACTTCATCATAAACTTGCTTGTCCACAAAAACAGCTTTCTTCAACATTTACTCCTTGTTTTTCTAAATCTTGCAAGCTCATGTCTTATTCTCATGCGTTTTTGCAAGATCCTGAATTTTATGCACGTGCACATATGAGTAATCATAGGTGTTCATTAAAAATGTGTATATACATATATATATATGTATATGGAATACATATATATATATGGAATACATATGGAATGGCTGTGTCTTGGTATGCAGGTGTCTTTGTTTGGAAAGACGGGAGTCTGCTAAAGAAGGCAGGAGCCTCCCCACTCCTGAATTGCTATAAATTTTAAATTAAGGGGCTCTCAGGCAAAAATATGGGAGCAGGAAATAACAGTTCTTTAATGGAGAAAAGAAAAAAAAAAGATAAAATAAATAATGCAGTACACTAGAACAACACTGACAGAGTCAGAACCCAACCTGACACCCTGTGTTGGTGGCAGTCTGATTGAAAATGTGGCTGCAGTCCTCCTGAAGCATCAGGTGTGGTTCTGTTGGGGCAAAGGGGGGTCCTGTAGAGAAGGATGTATTCTTCCTCTGAAGATCCAGTGGAAGAAGAAGGCAGCTGCTGTTTCTCTGGGGAATCCCATGGAGAAAGCCGTGCTGGTGTCTCAAAAAACTTCTGGATTATATCTGGGTAGCAATGCTTGGCTCCTCCCTCTGGGCTCACATCTCCCAATGGGATGTTATAGTTCTTATCAGTCATGCAGTGCCATTCAATAGTCTGTTATCAGCAGATGTTCCCTCCAGGAGGTGTGAATGTGGTCACTCAGAGAGAGAGATAAAGCAAACTGCCCACTTGACAAAAGGTAATCTGCCTTACAGATGGTAATTGAAAACATCTTGCATTGCAATCTTCAACAGCAGATAACTTGTGTGTTTCAAAATTGTCAGCTTCTTCCTCTTGCAGGTCTTTGAGGTCCAGCATTCTGTTAGTTGTCTTTCAGTTTTTTTTTAATTTGAATTTTAAAACTAATGAAATATGCAATGCTTTACTACAGAATCCAGGTCTAAAGTAAATCATATCTGTTGTATCAAATCTACTAGCTTATTGCACCCAAGTATATTTGCTTTTCAAAATAACAAGAACGTCAGTTCTTTGTATTTTCTAGTAGTACTTACTGCTATTGACACTGTCTTGAAACTTGAAGTGTTATTACCAGCAAGGTATTTTAGTACAGTTTTTGTATGAGCTGTGAACATCTTTCACAAAGTAAATATTTCTATCTGTAATAAATAATTTAATAATAATTGATATAGAAGGCAGGATCTTCTATATTCTGGCACATTGCTTACATTCCTTGTAGGTGACTGAACTTGTCTTCATATTTCTAAAATCTTTCAGGTTCTCAGAAGCCACAAAAGATAATGAACACAAACGCTCTCTTACCAAGACTCCATCTAGAATGTCTCCATACATGGAGGAGCTCTGCACACCTGACACTCAAAAGAGCTGCAAACTACGAAGTCAGAAGAACAGTAAGGGAAATGCAAGAAATAATGATCTGTCTGCATCAAAGGGTAAGGTGGATGGTGACTATTTGGCTCTTTCAGATCAAGACTTTTGTCTTACTGAATTACTGTACAAGTTTTTAACAATCGAATGTCACGTAGACCCAGGTTTTAATTTAATTCTCTAATTTATGACTGGTTCTTCAGAAACTGCAGTAGTTTCTTTGTTTCCTTTGTCTTCCAGCGATTTGACTAAAATGTTTAGGTGCCACAACTTAAACATATGGTACCTAGCTACCTACAGAAAAGAGGATAGAAAGTCTTCCAGACCTTTAGGGACTACATAGCAGAAGATTCAGATAGATACAGGGACACTCCATCAGCACAGAAAGGAATTCCTGACACCTTCCTTCCCAGAGGTCTTGTTCTTCTTGTGTGGTTAGCATGCATCAGGCTTCTAGCTGTGCTTTAGGATAACCTGTTATCAGCCTCAGCACCCTGATAACTCAGGAAATAAAATTAAGAAAAATCAGAAATCTTCTGATTACTAACAATTTTTGCAGCAACACAGCTCTGCTATCCAGCCATTGGCACCCTTAGCATTACAGGGGTATTTGCACAGGTCAAGAACCCTGAGCTTCCTGGTTTGCTGTGTAATAATACTGATGTTTTCAAGGGGCAAGCAAAATTCCACAGTGATCTGAAGCTGATCTGTTCCAAAAGAATTCCTCTTTAACATGAAAAACGACTTGGCTCCAAATAGGCATGGAAGAAACGCAATTTGCCTTGAAGGACTAGAAAAACACATGGAGCTGTATGTGCTCTTCCAAGGTGTAATCATAGCTGAAGGGCCAGTACTCTACAACTCTTGTCCCTCCCTATTTCAAGTGAGAATTGCATTGTTTGTGCAATTCTATCTTTAGAAGTAGCAGCAGGGGCATTTAATGGCCTTGGTAATTGCAGTGTGGTCTTTCTGTGTACATTGATGCTCCTGCTACTCTAATGATGGTATCTTGGTGCCTTTTGTAGTTCTTACCCCCTTCAAGTTTGGAGCTCAACCTGCAGAACCCACAAGTGGGAAGAAGACATTTGATCTCAAAGCCAGTCTCTCTCGGCCGCTTCGGTATCAGCCGCACAAAGGTACCGTGACTGCGCAGCCCGTGTTGGTCACAGCCCTCGCCCTCAGCTGCTCCTGGGAGCGCTGTGATACCAACAGGGAGAACAAAGTGTACAGTCTCTTTCCTGTCCCTTGTGCTTTCTCTATGGGTTCCCACACAGTCTGATATTAAATTTCTTCTTAATATATGCTTCAAGCACCTCCCTACTGAAGATTAGGATTTTATGACCTAAAGCCCATAAATACAAGAATAAATATCCTTGCATTCCACTGAATAGATGCATGTACAGGAAATACAAAATATTCCTTACACAATGAGATGGGTTTTTTTAATCTCATGTGAGAAGCTGAACTTTGCATGTTGAATATTACTTCTAAGTACAGTCACCTGTTTCTACTTACAGAACTACTTATAGGGAATGAAACTGATAACACAGCTTAAAGAGGCATTTCATCTTCAAAACAGCCAGTAAGAAACAGGCTAGCTAGGATAAATTCATGATAGGAAGTTAAGCACACAATTAGTTACTAAACTATTAAACTAGTCTCTCTTTTTGCTCTTAAATTGTAGGACGACTAAAACCATGGGGAGAATTTAAGGAAAATGCTGTTCTCAGTAGGTCTGGTGGTATCTGTTCACACAGGAAAGATTACAAACAGCCACATCTCCAGACAAGGTTAGTACACCACTTGTCTTTTTATAGATAGTGTTACTTAAAGTAATATGATGATTCATTCTTCTTATTAGGATTTAAATGTAGTTTAGGAAAGAATACTTTTGTATTAAAGCCATTTTTCTTTCCAATGACTGTTGAAATTTCAAGAAGGCCAACAAAAGGCTGCTCTGAATTTAAGACAATTTTTTTTTCCACGAACAGTATCAGTTCCAGGGTTTGGAGATTTACCTTAATCTTGGAAGAAGCTGTCAATATTACCATGCTGTTACCTCAAGTGTTAGACCTGCATGTCTCAGCAGATGTATTTGCCTGAATGTTTGGGTTCAGTCCATAGTGGTACTCTTATCTCTGCCTATGGCAAAGGCAGCACACTGATTAAACTTGTGTTAGGCTGTGATCAGCTTCACATTCCTTTGGTTGCTAGTGTCTCTAATGAAACTTGACATGGTCTCTTGTTTCCCTCCAGGGAAGAAAGGCGTGAGATGCTGGAGCAAGACAGAAAAGAGAAAAAGGCTCGTGCTCTTGGGAAACGTAGAGGCCTGTCTGGGTGTTAGGATGAACAAGAAGTATCCAAGACTTCACTGTAAATACTGTTCCTCTCATGTAAAGGCTTGTGCTCTGTGTATGGTTCAGGTTGCTTTTAGCTAGTGGAATCCAGAAAGCAATTACTGAGACCTTGTAATGTGCTCTGAGCATAATGATGATCAACTTCTCCACTGAGAGTTCTAACCTTTGAGGGGCTTAGAACTCTCTTGTTGCTTTGTAATGTTTCCATTTAACTAATTTACTTGACTTAAAGATGTTAAAGAAGAAAATATGAGTGGAAAAAAGATGCTCGAGAAGCCTCCTTGCAACTTAGGACAGACTTGTGCATCAGAATGCACTTGTGTGCAGAATCAGAATGTGTGCTAGAATGCAGGCTTTAGACAGCAGCAGCTTCAAAATGTTCCCCAGTGTTCAAAATGACAAGATTTGGAAGTACCTGCTTGCCCTGTTCTCCAGGTCAATCCTTAAATGCTCTAAGTTACAGCAATTATTCAGCATTTCTAATCTAATCCTATGGAATAGTAGGGAATTTCAAAGAGAAGAAAAAATATGCAAGCTCTCTGGCAAACTAATGTGTAACATAATTGTAAACTACCTTCTTGAAAAAGTCACAACTGAATTTACAAATTACCAGTTGAATGCTTTGGTACAGTTAAGGTTTTCTTCCTTTCTATGGTAAATAGCAGATGTTAAAATTCTCTTGCTTTTCACCTCTAAGATGCTTAGAAGATGTCAGAATTGTGTTGAGGTACACTCAGTACCTTGGTTTTAAAAGAAGCTGTTATTTTTGCATTTAAAAAATACATAGAAAAGTTGTCTGGATTTTTTAGGGATAGAAGTAGAAAGGTAATTTAGCAGTTGTAATCTCAGCTGTTGAGCCAATAAATGTTTCACTGAATTTAGTGTCCCATCAAATATATGTTGCAATGTCAAGAAAAAGCAAATTTTTTAATAAAGAAGACAATAAATGTTTTGTATAGGTCCTGTTTATCACTGGCTTTATCATTTAGTATACCAACTACAACTTCCTTACTCTGGCACTCATTTTGTTCACACCTGTATTTACTGCTGTGTTTTCCTGTGCTAGGTTTTCCTCACTAACTTACCTGCCCTCCCACTTCATGGAAAGATGTTAGCTCTGGTATCATCATTCTTCTACAATTAAGCAGCTAAATTCAATGCAAAATGAAAATGGTAGTACAAGATTCTGTTTCAGCTTGCTTCATTGTGGTCTCTTCCCTATAAAATACAGTACATTTAATATTTCTAAAGTACACTTAAACAAGGCCACTGTGGAGGAGGTCAGCTCTTTGATTATTAAAATTTGACAGCTGAAACATGCCCTTTACAAAACAAGTGTTTGGGTGGTTATCTTGAATTCCTGAAAACTGGATTTCTCTGCAAAAGGGAGGTGTTAAGGTTCTGTGCAGCAGTTGAGGCTGTGAATTCTTGCTGCACAGCTGAGTTAGGCTAACTGCACACAGCAGAAGTGGGATCTGCTCTGCCCTGTAATGATGCAAAGTCGGCCAAGCTCTGCCCCCTCAGGGAGCAGACAGAGCTGCAGCTTCTCTCCCACCCCTCCTTTGGAGCTTTGCTTCTTGCAACATCCTTGGCTCTGCATCATTGTAGGATTATCTTCAACAGCTTGGAAGGAAAAGTCAAGCCTGCTGCATAGCTCTTGTTTCCATCTTGGCAGTGGCAGCTTTTTCTTTTTTTAGCTATCTAGAGGAGCCAAAGCTAAAGGTTGAAATACTTCTGCCTTTTCCACTTCTGGTGCTGCTCTTTGTAAATTTCAGAAGCTGAGTCACACCAGTCCTCAGAGTATTAATTCTCATACCTTTTTCAGTTAAAAACTAGCAAATGCAAGTGTTTTACAACTGTCAATAAACCACAATGTAGAAAATGAAAGTGTTGGACAAGAAAAGAACAACAGACTTGTGAAATACTTTTATTTCAGTGAAGGTCAGGATAGAAGCCAAGAAGAGTCACTACTTTTTAAGAACATCACAACTGCTCTCAGGCTACATTGCAGTCCATCCATCTATGTACAATCTCTTCATTATTCTGTAGTTGGGAGTTTAAAGAGGCCAGTGTTGCCACACTTCACGCACTTATCTCTTAAATAGGCCCTTCAAGTTGTTAAAAGCCACATGTTAATAAGTATTTTATAAAAATAAACCAAATATCTGAAGAATGTTCCAAAGTACACCAGCCCAGCTTAGACTGGAGTGTTCTTGTCATATGCTTCATAGGCAAACTTTTCTTTATGAGCTCTGTCGTTCAACAGACCAATAAAATCAATCTCCAGCTGGAATGGACCATCTACTTTGTCTCCAATGGTGAATCCGAGGGTTCTAACCTAGTTAAAAGACACAGAGGGTAGAAGAGTATTTATAATATTACAATCAAATTCAGTTGTATCTCCCAATTCTCTATTTTACATGCTGATCACAGCAATCTTCTTTAAACTGGTAATGTTAAAAACGCCGCAGCATTTTTTAAGGCTTGGACACTTCCCTACCCCATTTTCACCACAGACCCCAGTGGGAAATGACTCCACATGTGCCTTTCTACCACTGTGTAAATAAACCCTCAATTTAAAATGGCCCAAGCCTAAAGCAACACTTCCTTTTATCCTTCATGCTTTTCATCACAATTGAGTTTCTAAACACATTTTCATAAAATCACAATTCTTTCATTAATAGGAGAAACAAAGATGTAATTAAGGATGGAAGGGATCATTCTAGACTGTGATACACCATCTACTCTGTGAAAACACCAAACCAGACATTTTAGAATTTAAGTTTAAGCTGGTAGGGAACTTAATTACTGAGTTTAATAGTAAGACAAGGTTCTTAGCCACTGTTTCCCAATTAGAATAATGTTCTTAAATATACGAACAAAACTGTGTGGCTTGCGCCTGCTTTCTATTAGCCTGGGGCTTGCCCAAATGCTCCCTCAGCTCTCACACGTGACAAAACACCTCCAGCATTACCAGCTCAGTCCAGTCACCAGTGCAGGTACCTCATAAACTCAGCTGCCCCAAAGCCCTGCTGAAAGTGCAGGTCTGAACAGTGCCCATGATTTTAAGGGCTGCTGTAACTCTGGGAAAATAATGTCTAGGATGTGTCAGATGAATAAATGTGGACTCAATCTAAATCTACATTGCAAATATATGTTAAATAAAAGAACAAAGCAAGGTAAATGCACTGACACTCCTCTGGATCATTCTGATGCTTTCCATGCTATTCCTTCCCCAGCAGCAAGCTCTACAAGTAGCCCCTTGGCTTTTGGAGTCCAGAGAGTTTTTAAAGCTCCTTTTTTCCAAATCACATTGTTACAGATAATCTACAGGAGTCACCTAAACTCTGCTCTAAAGAATCTATTCCTTTGCAAGCCCTAGATACATTGACTGTTTCTTGCCTTTTTTATTCCTATTTAACAATTATTTTCTGCCTTTCCAGGTTCCTAGGAAAACATACATTAGTACCATGAGGGCCATTCATTTAAGAGTTGGACTTGATGGTCTCTATGGGTCCCTTCCAACTCCAAATACTCAGTGTGTGACCAAGAGATTTTATTAAGATTTCTTAAACTACCTTCACACTGCTTCCCTGATTTTTGGGTTTCTTTAAAACATGTTTGCAAAATTACACTGCAAGTGCATAATTTTTACTGTCAAATGCTATACATAAAATAATCATCAACAAAACTTCAGTTTTGGAGCATACTTAGATCAAGTACTGATTTGTCCCTTTAACTCCCAGTAAATATTTTTAAATAGACCATATATGTTTTCACTTACCACACATGAGAATAAGTACCTTATAACATGAAGAAGCCCTTCAATTGCAAATTCACAAACATTAGAGAATTTTTAAGTTATCTATATCAGGTCATCTTGAAGGAAATTCTGAATTTCTTACAGAGCAGTTGTGTGCTCCTTATACTGCCTTTTCAAATGAAATCTTAAATAAAGCCTACAGAAAACTTGCCTTGTCTAACCAGACAGGATGCTGGTTATCCTGGACTCTTCCCCGACTGGAGAGAAAGAATTTGGAGAATGGAATCTGACATAAACAAAACAAAACAAAATCAGACTGTAGTGTCACCAGTGCATAAAACAAACTTAGGGAAAAGAAAATAACATGGTACTAGCATTAGTTGGGTACATAAAACTGGCACAAGAGATGGGCCACATGAACCCTTTCAGGTGGCCCCTGGCAGCCAGCTCCAGGCCCACCCTGTCCTGTGCTGCCGCAGCCGTCGCACAGGAGCGCTGCCCTGTCAGGTCACAGTGAGTGGCTGCAGCACAGAAGGTGGCTGCTTACAGAGAGAATATCTCCTTCCAGTTACATGGAAATTTCAACCAGAAATTACTGCAAACTCTACCATGGGGTCATACTGACAGCCCATCTGTATCCAGGCTGTGGATTTCACAGTGCAAACTTTGTACTCAGACATTGGTACCTCTAGCAAAGCACTTCAGGGTAAAAATTTCTTTGAAAGTAGTGGGAGCAAGAAAGCCGAGCTGGCTGGTGGCTGGTGAGGGTGAGAGGAAAACATCCAAGCCAGCAATGACACTCCAACTTTCATCCTCTTGGCTCCTCGTCTGCGGAACAGCAGGCCGTCCCCACATGACTGGACAATGGTATCATGGAGCACTCAACACCAATTCATAGGGATGTGCAAACCTCCCTATAGCTGTCATCAGAGAATTAGAAAAAGTCCCCAAGTTTCACCAGAAAAGAGCCACAACTCACACTTAAAAATATTATTCTGTGTCACAGAGTCAAAGGTCACAAATGACAAACCCCAACTCTTGAGTCTGACTGACTCCAGAGAAGCTGCAAGTTAAGCAAATCCTGTTGCATGGAACAAATCCTACAACAGCCCATACTCATTTGCATTACAGATAAAATGGTTACCACAGAGAATATTCCAGGCAACACCTGCCAAGTTTCAATTGCTACATCTATCCTGTTACTCCAGTAAGAGCCAACAGTAGGCATTCAGAGAAATACCTGGTGGATCAATTCTTTAACACAATTGCACAGTGTGCCCTCCCCTAGCCCAGTTTTGGGAACTCCCAAGCCAAAGGCACATGTCTATTGTATAATGAAAATGTTGAGCGGACAGCAATATGAACTGTGAATGTGGAGAGAATTCCCCTTCCTGTGCTTTGGCCAGGACCTCAAGATGGTCTCACCAGTTTGAAAGATTGCTTAGCTCACCGTTATCTCCTCCCAGTATGGGCCTCCTCTGGTAAACATGAAGTAGCTGTAGAGGTCATCCTTTTGATGAGAGAAGTAGGGGTCTGTATAAATGTTCACCATCCAAGGTCTGCCATCACCACGGACACGTAAATACAGACTGTTGAAGTTTGACCAGTCATAATACTTCTTTCTGTTAAAAGATCCCTACAAATTATTGATAAATAGAATTATTTCTCCTTAACAGAGGGACACTTTCATCATGAGGACCAGAGCATTGTTGCTTTGATCACTGCCCTTGTTATTATGTCAGATAGCATTTACTGTAACACAGTGAACACAGCTACTCTGTCATCACCCCGGCTGCTGAGCTCACTGAATTTCCTTCAGCCCTCTATCAGAGACCACAAATCACAATATTGCTGCCTGAGGACTCTCATTATAAGCCACAATCTCATAACTATCAGAAATCAGACCTCCTTGCTAGGACTGAATTCCCTACCAGGCAATTACACAAATGCTGCAGTGATAGATCAGCACTTATGCAGCTCACTAAGTTTCATATTCTGTGGTCAGTTCTAGATCATTCAGAAGTGACAGCAGGAAATTGAAGCAGTGAAATAATTTATCTTCCTTGATAACTTCCCAACAGAAGACTAATGAAAACTGGGAACATTTAATGTTTTCCAACTTTTTTTTTCATTAACAGCGTAAAATAATAAGATCGCAAGCATGTCTAATTCTTTCCTGAATTTTTTCCAAAGATCTG